TGTCTTTTGAGTCTGGCCCGTGAACAGCCTCCTCCGAGAAGTCTTCCCTGGCTGAAAGGAGCCCAGCACCATTGGAAACCCGCATTGCAGGGGGTAGGGTTTGTGCATCCCGTTCGACCAACAATTATACTTTCCAAGACCGTGGAAAACAAGTAGCCGCTCTGCAATTCAGCCCAGGAAATGAGCGAAGGAACCTCGAAACTTTACACGAGTCGTCTGGAAATTCTATTTTTAAACGAGCAGCCTGTAATTCATAGGCAAACGAAGCACAAAATGCCACAAAAGCATGTTTGCAAAAAAAGAAAAAAGTAAAGAAAATCTAATCAAGGGAGACTGGACGTCTGTATGTCGACGTGTTAAAATAGATATTATTGAAAAGGGTGAGAAATTAGCCACATCAATGCCAAATATTGGATTTGCCTGAAGACATTTTTGTGACCAAGTGAACGAAGTCACAATAATCACACTAAAGACAGAAAATTTTGTGTGTCCTTTTTTTCAAAAGGACTTTGCCTCTTTATTTTAAAAAATAAAGTGCACCCTTTATTGTGTTCGCCTTGTGGCTGGCACTGTGCTAAGCATCTCATCCGCTCTAACATATTAAATCTTTATAAAAATCCAGTGTCATATAATATTATCATGCATATTTTGCAGTTGAGGACATTGAGGTTCGGAGAGGTTAAGTAACTTGCCCAAGGTCGCACAGCCAGAAAATGTTGGAGCAGGGATTTGAAGCCAGGTTTGTTGAATCCTGCACTACCCATCCCAACACACGCACACACACACACCACACATGCACACATGCACACGCACACTCTGTGCTCCCAGCTTAACCAGGGGTCTGCCTATCGCTCTCTAAATGCAGTTGGCTGTTTCACCCTGTGCTTTGGGACCCCTTATCCATACCACCGTGACCTGGTAAACACCTACCCACCCATATTCTAAGGCTCGGCTCATGTCATTAGACATAGAAATCTTTCTGGACGCGCAGGCAACCAAGACTACCCCTCCCCACCTTTGTCTTTTTCTCTCCAACGTAGTAGACCCTCCCCCGCTCTGAGCTGTGCGAAGACCAGAATCATCTCCACCTGGGACAGCCCTGCAGCCCAGTCTCCAGCACAATGCCTAATGGGAAGCACTTGGGCAATTATTTGCCAAACAGAGAATAAACTGACTCCTCCTTGCTCTGGGCGATCTTCATTCTGTACACCAGTGGCTGTCATTCGGGGGTGCTTTTACCTCCAAGGAGACACTTGACACTGTTTGGAGACTGTTTGGCTGCCATAACTCAGAGGGTGCTGTTAGCACCTCCTAGGTAGAGGCCAGGGGTACTGCCAAGCACCCTACAGTGCACAGGACAGCCTGCCTCTCACCCACAACAAAGAATTCTCCCGCCTGAGACATTAGTAGCAGTGAGGCTGAGGAGCCTGACCTAGACCTTCTGTCTCCACAGCTACAACATACCCAAGACCTCCCCAGGTGGATGGATGGATGGATGGTTGGATGGATGGATGGCTGATGGATGGATGATGGATGGTGGTTTGATGGATGAATGATGGATGGTGGGTGGATGGATGGAGGGATGGAGGGATGGAGGGATGGAGGGATGGATAGATGATGGATGGAGGGATGGATGGATGGATGGATGGATGATGGAGGGATGGATGGATGATGGAGGGATGGATAGATGATGGAGGGATGGATGAATGATGGAGGGATGTAAGGATGGATGATGGATGGAGGGATGATGGAGAGATGGATGGATGATGGAGGAGATGGCTGGATGAATGATGGAGGGATGGATGGATGATGGATGGTGGATCATGGATGGATGGAGGGATGGAGGGAGGGATGAATGATGGAGGGATGGATGGATGATGGAGGGATGGATGGATGATGGAGGGATGGATGGATGGAGGGATGGAGGGATGGAGGGATAGATGATGGATGGAGGGATGGATGAATGATGGAGGGATGGATGGATGATGGAGGGATGGATGGATGATGGATGGTGGATCGATGGATGGATGGAGGGATGGAGGGATGGATGATGGATGGAGGGATGGATGATGGATGGAGGGATGGATAGAGGGATGGGTGAGTGAATAAGAGAAATGCAGAAGGGACAGAGCCAGACAAATTTGGTGTGCACACTGGAGTAATGAAAACCCTGTAGGATCGGGTGGCCAGACCAAGGACCCGAGTTTGGGGTCACCAGTTAGCCATGTGGAAATGTCACGTTGGTCATCGTGATCAGCCCCCAAATGGCCATAAGGAGAAAATAGTCAAAGCAAAGCACCGACTAACAGTTTGGTTTGACAGACGCAGCCCCACAGGACTGCACGCTCTTTCCCACTGTTCTGCGCCCATGGTGGGATTTTTCAGGTTCTTAGGGCAAAGTCCCAGGTTGCTTATAACTCTACATTTACAGCCTGTGGCTCAGGGGAAAGTAGTTCCTCGTGTAACTTCCTCATGAAAACACAAAGCGATCACTGTGGGTTGAGTCGATGGTCGCATCCAGGTCTTTGAGCATTAAATACAAGCAGCTGTTTGAGGGGAAACGAGTTATAGGAAGGCAAATGTGCAGACTAGACTCTTTGATTATTAGTTTAGTGGAAACAGACGAGGGAGACCTATGTGTGTAGTGAGAATGAGAAAAACAGCTCTTACTTGTACATACTCTAGAATTCCCAGCGCGCTTCCAAATCGGCATCTTACCTGAGCGTCACAGTGATGCTGTGAGCGGGTGTCATCCCCGCTTTATAAAACACAGAGGGTCAGAGGAGTTAGGCTCAAGGTTTCCTAAAAGTCCAGTCTCGGGAAGACTGACCCTCGGAGAGAGGAACGGAGCCGGTGCCCATCGGCGTGGCTGTGGCCATGGCCATGGCCAGTGGGCTCTGGGTTCGCACCTTCCTGTCCTGGTGCACTGGGCACCTCTGGGGTGTCTGGGCTGAGAAGGTGGGTCCAGGCAACGGAAGGGGGCATTTTCAAGCTCAGCGTTTCACTGGGCGATATCTAAACAGCCAATCAGAGAAGGACAAGCAATCTGTGAAAAGATGTCCCTCACCTGCGAACCAGGGTGTAGACCGCAGGAGAGGAGGGCAGAGCCCTCCATGCCCTACCACATGCAGGGACCCGTGTCCCCGACTGCAGACCACAGGCTCTATCTCGCGCTGGGCCTTCTCTTCATGGTTCGTCCCGGAAAGAAAAGGCAGCAGGAGTGGTCTGTTCGTTTGGGGTTCTGTCTGAGGTTTTCTCTAACGATTGGGACCGGCAATGTGTGCTCGTGCCAAAAGCAACAGAATATTTCAAGATTATCGTGAGCCTGTACTTGTCCGGCTGCTTTTAGTTCGGAATTCCCAAATCGCACCATAGATTTTCAGAATTACAGAAAAGAATGGTAGAGATGGTTAGAATTTGTGTTTAATGTGAAAAAATACATATTGGTATTCACTCTTCCTTACGTAGAAATCGACGCCGACGGCCCACACAGATGCCTTCGCTATGTTTAGTGAAGCGACTGCACTTCGAGCGCCGCCCATGTTAATGATGATCATAAGCATCCTAGCTTTTCGTGGCCCCGTTTCATCATGTAATTACGTTCCCACGAAAGCAACGTGCGAAGTTACAAAAAATTAAAACCAGGAATCATATCCTGGTGAGGCGTGGAGAAGTTTCTAGAAGCTGGTAGGCGGCAGCTCCCTTGTCTTCCTCACCAGTCGTCACCCTCTTAACAGCTCATTTGCTCTGAACCAAGCAGCAGATAGAACAAGTAGTTCTGCCCTTGATCAGCAGGTGGTGGTTCATCTGGGGGTGTCCGGAGGGAACAGGGCACAGCGGTGACTGGTTTCTGACCCGTCACAGGGGCATTGCCTCCGGACCCATGTTGAGAAGGAGCAGCCCAGTCTTTTGGGGGTGTTTTCACCCCAGCAGCAAAATGCATGCACGAGACACTCAGGAAGACAAGCGGATCTTCCAGGAGGGGCTGAGGGGCTGAGGGACGTCGAGTGACGGGAAATGCGCCCAGCTGCCAGAAGCGAGGTTCGGTGGATCTGCCAGGGAACATAGAGGAGGCATGAGAATGACTGGGGTGTTCAGAGCGGCAGCGACTCTGCCTGACAGTGTCCAGCGCTGCCCAGGCTCCCCACTGTCTTCAGTCTCTCGTTGCCGCTGAGGCCAAATAAACGTCATTTCCCAGGGCCCTCTGGAAGGGTGGCCATGGCCTGAGACGCAGTCACACAAGCAGCAGCTCCTGTGTCCTTCTCTCGTGGTCCAGAGCCTTCTGCGCCCATCCTAAAAGGAAGCAGACCCCTTGTCCACTGAGACCCGAAGGCCCGGTCTTCAGACGGGAACATACCTGGGCCCTGAGAGGCGAGGGGGCGTGGACGGGGGGGCGGGCAGCTTTCCCCTGCCACGACAGTGGCTCCACCGTCTTCTCAAGAAATGGTTCCCCAGTGACATGGCTGACACAACGTTCGCTGATTGCCCGAGCTTGAATTTTAAAAGCCTGATTTTTAAAATGCATGTGTGAATGTATAAATTCGCTCATCCGCATATAAACATAGATCTCTACTATTAGGGAAGGGGAGCCAAAAGTTATCATTAAAGGCGTTCTTTGGTGGCAGGGAAGTAAGTTAGGACAGTATTTGCCTTGGGGACAGCCTGCTGCAATCTGCATGGATGCTCTGTAGATAAGGCTGGCCCTCTCTCTCGGGGCCTGGCAGAGGGTACGTACGCCCCAGCGCTGCACAAAGAGTCAGCTCAGAGGGAGCCAGGGCCCAGCGTTTGAGAAGGCAACAGCCGTGTGTCTCTCCTGTCCCCTCCCCCAGGAGCTTGCCAGCCATCTGCTCTGTACCGAAACTGCCATGTCCCGTATCTGTCCACATGTCACACTGATTCAGAAACCAAACTCCCACAACTGCTCGTTTCAGCACAGACGGTGGGAACGGGAGTCCCGCCCGGGTTCGTTCTAACCTGGCTTGTCTTTCCCTCTCGCGCAGGGGCGGATCTGCAGAAAAGCCGGAAAATCAAAAAAGTCCTTCAGTCGCAAGGAAGCGGAAGCCACCTTTAAGAGTCTGGTGAAGACGCATGAAAAGTACGGCTGGGTCACCCCGCCCGTGTCCGACGGCTGATGTCCGCTCCGCCAGGCGGATCAGACGCTTCAGCCACCTCTCCACACGCACAGACACCCGCCATCTCCTCCCGACACCGAGCATCGCCACCCTTTTCTACTCCAGCTGGAACCGAATCCTGAATCCAAGGAGACGTTTAAGTTATTTATGAACGGATGCGTTGACAGAGAGAAGGAGGGAACGGACACCGTTCGGGATTACGTTTCGGTTCTAAACGAATGATCATCTCTGAGTCACTTTAGAACACATGTTGAGATGGTGACATTCCCCAGCCCCAGTCACACTGCCCTTTGCTTCTTTCCGTGACAGCAGCTCCAAAGAGCAGGCAGGAGACCCGAGGCCCGCTGCTCACGCGACCCGTCCGTTCACGTCCGCTGTGCCCTGTGCCTCTGTTCCCCTCCCTGGCAGGGCAATGTCACTTGAAGACGTGTCTTTCTGTGGCCCCGTGTGACAACATGTAGACCTCATTCGTGCTATGACCTTTGGCTCATGAAAACAAAAATTTAATATCGCCAGGTTCTAGTGATTTAAAACAACTGCCCTCTCGGTTCTAATGTGCTGTGTATGCTGATGGGGTGGTGAGCGTCTGTCCACAGAGAAACCAGCGCCCTCATGCGACAGGCGGGGCGCCATGGCCACGATGGGACGCAGAGTGCTGCGGGCGCCGGGCGCGCGCTCCCCGCGGACAGCCTCGGGTGCCCTGAGATGCTCCTCCAACCCGTGTTTCTGTTCCCGTGTCCTCTCCGCTGAGCACCCACCACCGAAAGCAAAAGACGATTCCCACTCACCGAAGTCATCTGACTCATTGTATCACGTGTGCTAGTGACAGGCGATGCCAGAACCGCCAGAGGGTACCAGGTGATCCTGCGATGATTTGCATGACCGGGTTTAACTCTTCACCCCGTAGTCACTTGTGTGTCCCCCGAGGCTGGGATGCCCAGGCCCCCTCGCTGTGACGTAAACTTCCTGCTACTTAATCACCCCACAGTTTCATTTCTCTCTTCTGTTAAGTTACTTAGAACTTTCTAAGAAACTCCATGAAAGGAGGAAACACTGTTTATAATCTGCAGGAAGAGGGAAAATGTTCATCCAAGTGGGAAATCTTATTGGACACATTTTAATAAATCATGCATACCGACACACCGTCTCAAGAATCCAATCATTGCGGGCTATGCGTCCGTCTAAAATATTTAATCTAGTTTCACAATTTTAGTATTTCGAGTAATGCAGATAGCGCGACAGCATCCTGCATCGGGGTTCAGGAAATGAATCTCAGAAACCCACAGTCTTTACAAAAATCCGGTGGGTCGAAATGGTCCCCAGAAGCACCCAGGAGATAACTAGAAACTGGAGCATGAAGAGATGATTTGGCCAAACTTAAATGTTGCCAATTATATTTTCCCACTATGAAGGATGAGAGGTCTTTGCTGATTACATAAAGTTCTTCACACAGTCTTGGCTACTTGGGGCCCTGCTCACTGCCCAAGGTGGTCAGAGATCTGATCTCTTCTCTGAGGACAGAGGGTCCAGTCCTCCCCGTGCGACTAGCCATTTGCCAAATCCACCCTTTATTGCCGCTTTTATCATTTCGCCATATTCTTATGCATCCCAAATACACATGCAGCTTTGTCCGGCCAAAATGGCAGCGTACCGAGGATGCGTGACCTCTTGCTCAAGCTCCCTCTGAGGACCAGTAGTCATGAAATCTGATGACAATGAACTTAAAGCGTCCACTCATCCGATCCTTCGTCCTGGAGCGTTGACACTGAGCGGGCAGGGCGGTCTTCGGGCCCTCGGCCGTTCGCCGTAATGGAGTCACTCTGGCCACTGAAGCTCCAGGACAGGAGCAGCTTGCTAGGGGAGGCGCCTGAGTTTGCTTCTTTCCAGACAGCTCCCTCTCTAATGTAACATTAAAGGTCGCGTCCTTCAAGGACCCGTATGTGTGTATTTGGAGATCTTTCTATTTGTCCAGAGCTCGGTCACCCAGCTGTCTGCCAGCTGCGTGAAGAGCTCATGCGCCGTTGTGTCAGGGGACGCCATCCTCAAGGAGCAGCCATGAGGGGCCTTACCACCCAGGGGCGGGCCGAGCGACAGCCGACAGCAACAGGGGACATGTGGCTCAATTTCCACATCTCCGTACACCTTGAATTTCATCTCTTTTGCATGGCACTTCCATTATGTTTGTTAGAAACTGGAAGTTGTAAGAGAATATTCTTTTTTTTAAGCCTACAGCACCTGGTCTTCCCAGGTGGTCTCCCATCCAAGTACTAACCAGGCCCAACCCTGCTTAGCTTCCGAGATCAGATGGGATCGGGCTTGTTCAGGGTGTCATGGCCGTAGACGAGAAATATTCTTTAGTGAAAAAGATACCATTTCTCACTTAAATTGGTAAGACTGCTTCACTTTAAAGCAGTGGGGAATAATCAAAAACTGCACTATTGCCTTGACCCTTAGTCACAAGCAAGAACTCACTTCCTGGCGGTTGGAAGCTTGTAGGCAGACATGGCGGTGTCGGCCAGATTCAGCCCTTCCGATGTCCTCGCAGTGGGTCGTGCCCGCCTCCAGCTCATCCCAGCCCTCCAAGGTGGGCACCTGCCTGCGGGGCCCGGGGTAGGAGGAGCCAGACCCAGAGCCAACGAGCCAGCTGGCTGGGGTCAGGTTCCCACACAGGCCGAGAAGCCCATCCCTCCAGACAGGCAGCAGGGGAGAAATTAGACCCAATGCGGACGTGCACACCCCGCCAGCTCGCACCCCAGTTACTGGCAGGAACACCAACCCACCCAGAGGCCAGAGCCAATGGAAGGAAGAAATACAGACATGCGCACTTCCAGGCAGCCCCAAACCCTTTGTACCTGGCAGTTTTCCTGGACCAATAGCCTTTATTCCTGGGTGCCTCCGTCTGCAGGCCACTGTGCACGAGAGCTGCATGTATGCGGTTCACTGTCTTTCTGGAAGAGCAAGATGACTTATGCCTTAGGAAGTTCCATGTGAGCAGCAAGGTCACCGTGCATTTCCACACGCACACACATGCACACGCATACACACGCACATGCACACGCATACACGCGCACATGCATGCACATGCAAGCACACACACACGTACATATTCCTTAGAAGGCTCACGATCTCTAAAATCCATTATTCGGAAAAAGCAAGAATTAGGCCTAAATCTGTTGGCTCCCAAGTTCACTCTACCTATCGAAATTAGATCTTATTTTTTAAAAAGGAAATCCGTGGAAAGGAAAAAGACCCAGCTAGACAGCCACGTGCCCGTTCTCCTATCCGAGCCTCGGCATCCCTGGCTGTGCCCCTGCCTCCAGGTTTGAGTGAGAATTCACCCACACATGGGGGAAAGTACTTGGGAAACCAGACTTTGTCATGTGAACTTTAGGGATTATTTTTATTGTATCGAGGAATTTGTATTACGACAGGCTTTCACCATAACATGCTTAGATCAAGACCAGACTGAACCATCACGCTGGTTCTGATACGAGACCCTTCTCATCACGTGCTGGCTTTCCGTCTCCAGCCCCTACTTTAAGTCAACCATCCAAGTCTGTTACTCACTGTCCACTCACTCAGACACAGCGAATGCGGGAGTGTGAGGCACATCTCCCTCCACTCCCCTACCCCCACCTCCGGAGGTGCTCATAAGGCAAGAACGGCACACAAGAACCAGCAACAGGTGAGTCGAGACCAAAGACACCGAGGTGCTCAGCCGCCGGGCAGACTCAGCGGACGCCCTGCGGGCGGAGGGCCCCTCACTGACAACCGGGCGGGTTTCACAGAGAAAGTCGGACTTGAGCGACGGCTAGCAAGAGGGAAGAAAGACAGGCGTAGAGACGGGGAGAGCCGAGGGTGCCCTCATACCAGGCATGGGCACCGTCCACACCGGCCCTGGGGGCAGCTCCTGTCACGTCTCACCTGCAGGGACCCTGCCTACAGATCTGATTTCAGGAGGCGGGACTCACTCTGTTCAACTTCACGGCCCAACGCGGCGTGTGGGGCTGGCCCCTGACCTAAGAATTCTATCCCAGTGAACGCTTCTAAGAACGTGCAAAATTTTAACGGAATTTGCTTTCCGGAGGGGCAGAGCTAGTTGGACAACTCAGGAGGGTAGACCCACTGAATCAGGGAGGCCACCTAGTCTAGCTTCATAGACTCGGCAGTGGAGGAAACAAGCCCAGAGGGGTTGAGTGGCTTTTTCCAGGTCACCGTGGGACATGGGCCAAGGCCCGTTCTGCAGGTGCAGCCTGATCCTCCACGATGCTGCCGTGGACCGTTCAGCAATTCACAAGGCCCCATCCGAGCACACGCTTCTTAGCCCACTGCTGGGTCAGGGGACCGCACGTCTTCCGAGTTGGCTGGGAGACACCCAAGGTGACCCCCTGTGTGTCAAAAGTGAGTCGGGGCAAAGGGCAGCTCCCGCTCCCACGTGCTCCGGGAAGCTGCGGGGAGGGACTTAGACCTCAGCCCATTTGATCACAATCAGCACTTGTTTTCCCCTCTGAAGACGTTAAAATAATCACCACTCCATTCCTCGGCTTTCTGCCACAGGCGGTCTTACCTTTCTGATTCAGGCAGGCTCCAATTTACAGAGTATCAAGTGTCACTCAATCCCTGAGTCCACCTGACCCGCAGGCTGTGGCCAATGAACTGGAAAGGACAAATAAACATGGGCGACATCCGAGAAGGCAATAAGCAATGTAAACATGGGCGACATCCGAGAAGGCAATAAGCAATGTAAACATGGTCGACATCCGGGAAGGCAATAAGCTCTGTAAACTTCATTCCAGAAGAAATACAGGAGCAAAGCGTGCTGGCCTAGGAGACATAACCAAGGAGAAGGATTTGAACAGAGTAAAGATGCAAAGGAAAGCAAGATTTAATTTCAAGGTCAAACGGGGCTAGACACACAGAGGGGACTGGGAACGGAGTGGGGTTCGCCTTCATGGTCACCCTCTTGGGTCAGAATAAGTACCTGCACTGCTTCCTCCTGTGGGTTCACTCTGGCGTGTCCCCATTTCTCTACTGGTGGCAAATTAAGTGTCTGTCCTCCTTTGCAGACATGCGATCGCTTTGTATCTGATGTCAGCAGGACCGGGGCTGGTCAAAACTACCCACACGCATGCTTGGGGGCTCTGCTTTGTCTGTCGCTTATGTGTTTGTCACAAAGAGTTTTCCTTCCATACCAAAATAAATGCTCCATGTTCATGAAAGCAAGTTATTTTTACTTAAAAACAGGGAAATGGTAGCGATATCGAGGTAGATGGAGACACAATCTGTTTGCAAAACACGAAGTTAAGTCAATCTGTTCAGTGTCCTGTGAGGATTCTGTGTAACTGTGCAGGGACTGGTTGAAAACAAAACTTTTTGTTGTTTAAACTTATCCCATGGCGCTTTTTAAAAGATTTTTTTTTTTTTGAGTCATGAAAAGTTTTCTAATAAATAATTTTGAAGGATAAATACAATCCAATAAGCCTAAACAACGTGAATAAACTTTCCCATAGGGAACCACTCCTATTTTGATCTTGTCTACATTTACAGTTTTTAATTTCTCAAAGACCTTTAAGATCTATCTGCTTACATTATTCCTATAGCAATGCCGTGGAGTGAGTTAGTGGCCGGTACTCTGCCAAGCTTGTGGACTGGAAACGAGCTTTTAACACGTACTTGATTTTTCTAATCTGATTTTATGTCAACGTGGTCAATTACTTTCCCATGTCGCAAAAACGTTACATTAAAGTCGATCCTAAAACCACATTTAAACCTCTGACTCCAAGGAATATTTGTAGCTACAACTTTTCGGAGGTTTACCCCTTTTCAATAATACAGATCACTTTGCAGTTGAGAGTACACCTTACCTGTACCAAATTCTGTGTATCTACACACACACACACACACCTGATTTCTATAACCTCATTCTCATTGCTTAGAGGGTTTGCTTCTCACTTGACTCTAGTTCCTACATTTTATGGGGCTGCTTTTCTGTAAAACATAACGAATTTCTGAAACAACTCGCAGCTCTGTGCCACGCTGCCCTCTGCATCCTCTGCCCTTCTGTGTTCCGGGTCCTCCCGGGCCCCACCGTCCC